CCTTTATTTATCTCTTTTTTTCTTTCACTCACTTTCTCACTTTTCTTTCATACAGAACTCTTAAGTTTTATATTGGATACAGTTGTGCCGGTCTGGCTTGTGTTTCTTCTCTTTTTGAGCTTTCATATCATACAAGCTGGCAAAACATAAACCTGCAACCCTCCCACCGGCCAAAAAAAGAAGAAAGATGGAGAGAAGAAATTCTCATAAAGTGGAAATGCCCAGCTGATGTTTCCAAGCTGTTGAGAATGATGGGAGTTCTGGCAGTGTTACGGAAAAGGAATATATATTTTTTCTCCAGTTCATTTTAGTTGCTTTTTAACCTTCCGAATGAAGTCATCGTCAAGTGTGCTCAGCCGGTAATTTAGCTGGCTTTCTCACTGATCATTTCTCTATTTTCCATTCTCTCTTTTGATCCTTCAGCAATCATTCTAATATTCTGATTTGCTGTTCAAGAAACATTTATTATTATTATTATTATTATTATCAATATTTAAAACCGTTGAGTACATTTTTTCAGGATTCGATAAATAGAAAGGTCTAAAGATTTATTTGCATTTTTTTTTTTATCTGAAATAAAAAGCTTTTGTAAAATTACACACTATACCATTCAAATGCTTGGAGTCAGTATATAAATGTTTTTTAGAATTGTTTTTTATTACAATGATTTCTGAAGGATCATGTGACTGGAATAATGATGCTAAAAATTCAGCTTTGAAATCACAGGAATAAATTACATTTTTAAATATATTCAAATAGAAAATAGTTATTTTAAATAGTAAAATATTTCCAAATTTTACTGTTTTTACTGTACTTTGGATCAAATATTAAATATACTTTGTACTTTGCAATATACTAATGTACTTTGAATCAAATTTAAAATAACTATTTTCTATTCTAGCTTGTACTTATTTGAACAAATGCCTGAAACTTGGTATTACGAGCACTTCCTGTGTCTGTTTGCCTTTTTAAGAAGAATCGCTTTATGTATTCCCCAATTGTAAGTCGCTTTGAATAAAAGTGTCTGCAAAAAGACTAAATGTAATGTAAATGTAAATAAATGCAGGCTTGGTGAGCACAAGAGACTTCTTTAAAAAACATTACAAATCTCACCGTTTAAAAACTTGTAACTAGACTAGTAGTGTATACTTGACTAGTAGTGTATATGTTTTCTTTTTTTTTAGGCTGCTCCACATAATATGCATTTTAGAAACAAATGGGTAATACCTTTAATAAAAAAGGTAAGGCAGAATTTCTGTTACTACAGCCACTATGCTGTGTGTTACAGTTATTCTCACTAATTTTTTGTAATACTGGTGTGTCGCCTCCTCCTCCTCCTCACACTGTCTCCGGTCACATGCATGACACACACACACACACAGAAACACACACACGGACAGACACACGGGTCACCTGGCACTGACTGAGGTCACCTATGAAGCCAGCAGGGACATGTGCAAACATACAGAAGCACAAATGCACACATTTGCACATGTGAAAACACTGCAAATTCATCTTCGGTTGTAGCAGGTTCAAGCCGAAATCCCCCCTGTTGAGCCAAGTGTTACTTTTCCGCTTGACTTGATTCCTGCATCCGCTCTCATGGACAAGCACACACACACACACACACATACAGACACAAAACACACACATACTCTTTCAACACTGAGTGACTCATTCTACAAACACACAAAGACATATGCACACTGATTAGGGCTGTTTCTTAGGCGAGGGGTTCACAGTCTGGTAGATGTTTAAAACTGTTGCAGAGGAAGTTGTGGACTGTCGCACAGTGTTTGTTTAATTAGGAATAGAGATTACGGGTAAAAATGAAAGGAGACACATCAGTTGTAGCTGTTGTTGTTTGTGGAGGAGGCTTTTATATATTAACATACAAAACCGGGCTGTGGATTCTTCAGATTTTTCAGGCAAATTCAGATTTCATCTGTGCTGTGAGCCGTCATTAATGCTCTTTATCATAAATAAATTTTGCCCCACAATAACATCACTGTTAGACATCCATATATGTATGATGTAACTACTGCTTATTTAATTTATTAGAGGCCATCCTTTTGTTCTATATGAACCGCATTGTAATAATTTGAACTGTATGTTGACTCCTTAATTTATGATTATTTTTTATATTAAATAATACTGGCTGATTTGTGCAGGACATTGCTGCTGATACGTGCATTGGAGCATGACATACTAATATATCCTCATTGATAATTTAACATATTCACTCCCTCTGACTGCAAACGTAAACGATCCTTCAGGGTTTTTTTTCTTCCCTCAGACTCCCATGCCAATACAATAATCAAATTACCTCAACAAACCTCTTGTAACAGTTTGCCATATTAGTGATGTCAGTGTTTTTCTATTTTAGGATTTGTGCTAGTCATTGAACCGCAGCGATTTTTAATTAAGAATTTAATTACCAATAATGCAGTTGATCAGCTGCTCCTAATTCATTTATGAGGACAGAGAGGAATCAGATAATTATGGCACACATATTCATCGTAGACAAAAATGTTCTTTGTTAAGTCAGCTGATAAGAAAATATATTTGGTTGTTTATCATTTTGTTCATAGTATTTTACTTTACTTTTTTTTTGTAAGTTTAATTCTATATTTAACAGCACAATGAATAATTTATACATTCCCACACTAGATGCCAAAGGCTCTAATAAATATCTTTGAAAGTTTGCTGGCTATGATGGTGGTGAGAAGATAAATGGTCAATAAAAAGTGGAACTTCTGGTAACAATGTAATTCATACTGCAGTGACATCAGCATATGGGCCTGACAAGCAAAAGTATTTGTCTCTGCTCTGAAGAGCAAGATCATGAGTGTGTGTGTGTGTGTGTGTGTGTGTACAGATGCTTTTATTTGTGAATTCAGGCTCACATGAAATCTGCAGGCACATAACAGAAGCATATAACTGCTGAAAATATGAAAAAAGTCAACTTATACAACATTAATGCCAGATCAAAGATGTTCACGCCCACTTTCAGTACAAACCAATAAGAGAAGTGATCTGAGATAGAAGCACCTCAGAACGCTCTCCGCCATTTCAGTCAACAACAGAGCACTCACACGCACTCAAACACTCCTTCTCACTTAAGACACATCACAATTACCCCTCTATTCTGCCTTTCAACCTTCTCTTTATTTCTCTCTCTGCTATCTGACACATTAACGTCACACGTGGAAGTGACCAGTAACCATTTTGTCTAGTAAAACATCCAAACCCCTCAGTCTCAGGGCCCTTCAAATCTCCTGTCCTCTAACACGTCCATATAGGGAAGCTTTTTAAAATCATCTACACACACCACATACAAAAAATCAAGAGCGCCGCCTCAGAGAGAGAGTGGATGAAAGAGGAAAGGCGAAAAAAATGTGTTTGAGCATGAAAAGCAAAGCATGCATGTTGGGAGGGCTCCAAAAGAGGGCCAGCCAAGAAAGAAATTAAAGTACAGCGATTATCTGGACCCAGAATTAGAAGCAGAGGGTTTTGGACTAATAAACATTTGAAACGCACCCTAGGGCCCTCACCATCATTTATTACTCCACCATCTCCCATTAATGTGTTTTTTTTTTTCTTTCGGTTTCTTCATTTTTTTTCTTCATCGATTCCCAGGATGTTTTAGGTAGATTTGATTAATTCTTGCTGGCAGGGTTTAATGAAAGGTCGTTGGTGGGGTTTTTTTCCTCTTCCTTTCTCAATCCCTTCCGCTTTGGATGTACTGATCCGGTGTTTTATTTCGGTCTTCTAATGGCTGTATCGTTGTTATCAGTAACTCTTGGCGTATTACAGGCCGACAAAGAGCGGTCATCAATTAACCGACACCACCCCCACCCGAGTGTCCCGTTCTGACCTCTCAGCACTACTCTTAAGCTTATCAACTCCCAAAACAAACCACTCATCCACACACACAGACTTGCACACTGTACATGTAGACTATACACACACTCAGCTCAAAGCCTATACACATTCACAAAGATTTTATTGCAGTATTTCAGGCACCGATATTCAGCCGTGGCGCTATTGCAAAATAAATAATATTTTATGAGTCCTAAAAAGACTGTGTTTCACAAAATAATGCAATGCAAATGCACAAAACACCTTCTATCATATTTCCTTTGTTGGCTACATGGAAAAACAATTACATGCAATTAGTGTAATCCAAATATATATATATATATATATATTTGTTTTTTTTTATGTTTTTAAGGCTCAAACCGATAACATCATTATCAGTCATTAATAACTTAAATTCTCAGTTTGTTTGGGTTTTTTTTTTTCAAACTTTTATTGAGACCATCAAATTAATAACAAGTTAAAGTAAAGACATTTATAATTGCATGCTGTTCATTTGAATTTCTATTCTTCAAAGAATCCTGAAAAAAAAGAAGTTTTATATCTGTTTCATGGATCATGTGATACTAAAAACTGGAGTAATCACTGCTGAAAATCACAGGAATATTTTTTTTTAATATATTAAAAATAATAATAATAATAATTTTAAATTGCAATAACATTTGACAGTATCACTGTTTTTGCTGTATTTTTAACAAATAAATGCAGCCTTGGTGAGAATAAGAGACTACTTATTTATTTGTTTTTTAATCTTGAACATGTTCACATAAATAAATAAAATTAAAACAATGTAATTAATTTCATTGTAACTAGACAAATGAAATAAATACATAAGCATTGTATAAGAAACATTGCAATATATTACATTCAATATCTCCAGGAAGTGCTCTTGCAAAAAAACTCAGACTGAGGGAAGCACTCTCACGCTGTCTGACGAAAGACGCCGCCCTCATGCCGTCTCCCGACAGTCCAGAAGGTGGAAAGGATTTGTGAATCCTGGGAAGATTAAGTGTACAGCTTAGTGCTGTGTGACCGCTAGTTTATACTTTTTTAATTCTTTCTCTCCATTTCTCCCTCCCTCTCTCTTCCAATCCCTATGTGCCACTTCTTTCGCTCTCCAGGTAGACAACAGTAAGCTCACGGTCGGGCGGAGCCTGAGGCGAGCGAGCGCTCCGATTGGTTGCTGCGTTGCGTTTCACCGCGTCATGTGGGCAGGATGGATGTGAAAGAACGCAGGCCGTACTGCTCACTGACCAAGAGCAGGAGAGAGAAAGAGCGCCGCTACACGGGCTCATCCGGCGACAGCGAGGACTGCCGCGTGCCCACCCAGAAGTCCTACAGCTCCAGCGAGACGCTCAAGGCCTTCGATCACGACTCCTCACGCCTGCTCTACGGCGGCCACGTCAAAGAGATGGTCCACCGAGAGGCAGACGAGTACAGCCGCCAAGGTGAGTCACCTGCACCTGTCATACCATCCATTATGACTTCATCCAGTATAGCGGTCACGTCATACAGCTTTAAAGCGCACACTGAAAAAAATAATAATAATAACATATGTCTAGAAATATATGACCATAATTACATATAATTAGAGGAAATTAAGTTTGGTTTGGCACGACCGAACGCTTTCTCTGAGAAAACATTTACTTACTTTTGATTGAAAAATGAAGCAGATTCAAAACAGATTAGACAGATTTACGCACACAAACTTGCTCTGATACTTGTCGACTAGAAGGTGAGTCACCTGCACCTGTCATACCTCAGAAATCCATTATGACTTCATCCAGTATAGCGGTCACGTCATACAGCTTTAAAGCGCACACTGAAAAAAATAATAATAATAACATATGTCTAGAAATATACGACCATAATTACATATAATTAGAGGAAATTAAGTTTGGTTTGGCACGACCGAACGCTTTCTCTGAGAAAACATTTACTTACTTTTGATTGAAAAATGAAGCAGATTCAAAACAGATTAGACAGATTTACGCACACAAACTTGCTCTGATACTTGTCGACTAGTCGACAGAGCGAAGAAATAAAACATTTCCTCTGATTAGCGCATCCAAACCCCTCGACCCAGCCTCTCATTTTCAGATCCGAAGTTTCCCTTATAACATATGCCCATGTGTCCCATTGGCAATAATGAATGGCACCATAAAAAACATAAACAGCATTATTGCGCTGTTCTGAAGTTTGCAATGTGCCCTGCTCGGCCACAGTTGTATTACTAATTACGAGCACAGAGGGTCCGCAAGCATTCGCACAGCCACGCTTTTATAAACTCGCTCACATTCATTGAGTTCTTTGTTGTTTTCTTTTTGTTCTTCTGCATGTAAGGCTTCATCAAAATACACACCGGTAAAGGTGAGGTTTTTTTCACTGTGGATTTAGCACAAATGTAGATTTGGGTCAAATGTTTTCTCCCTAGGTGTCGTGCTTGTCTGTGTTGCGATAGAGGTTAGCGTTGCGTGTTTGTGTGCCCTTACCGTAAGTGTTGTGTTAAGCTGAAGGTCAGCCTAGCTGTTATCAGTCACTGGAGTGCTAGAGGCTCTGTCTGTTGAGTGTGTTTATTTTAGAAAGCACAGGAAGTGACACCAGATTACAGCAGGGGTAAAGGAGCAGCCTGCCTCCAACCATTATGCAGGGTAGCCCACTCTATCACAGAGAGAGAGAGAGAGAGAGAGAGAGAGAGCAAAGGCGCTCACAGATGTAGTGCAGACACCGTTGAGCTCTTGAGAGACTGCACTTCGGCCTCAACACGGTCTTCAACACTCTCGCCATAATCACCCTGCCGCAGACGTCACCTAACCCAGTCTCAAGCCCTAACCTTGGCACGCAACCACGTTCATCATGAAACTAATTCCTCCCGTGTGATATATTTTTAGCCTTTAGACCATTGCAGAAAGCGATACCTAGATAATTAATTTTGCGGAATAGAAAGGACCAGGCAGGCAAACTGAAATTGTTAATTAGCCATTACACAACAATGGCAGATTGGAATTACTGAGATCTGAAATAATGTAGCCATGCTGCGAAGTGCTGCCGTTCAGTTCCATTACAAAGTTCCATAAAGGTCATTACCAGTTCATTGATTGCTTTCAAACTCAAATTAACACTTCATAAATATTTGAGCAGAAAAGCCATAATTGCTCAATTATCTTATCCTGTACAATTTCATCTACACTAATTGGTAATTTGGAATTTATATGATTTTAATTGAACTTCGGTGGAACCCCGATTATTTCTGTAGTTAATCGCTTTTATTAATTCCTGTTAATGCAGGGGATCAATGCTTTTCTTTTTCATTTCTTTCCTTTTTTTATCGTCAAGCTAATAAAATATGCAGCTTTTTGCTGTGATTGTTTTAACATGAAATTCTGTGGATTCAAATAATTAGTCACTTACATGTGAAAACTTTATTCGTTTTTTTTTTTTATTATTAGGTATATTTAGTAAACTACTTTAGAATTATTTTCTTCTATTGCAAGGTAGATATGATTTATTTGATTAATCATTACTAATCATTACTAATTTAATTGATTTGATTTAGTTGATTTTTGATGCATTTAAACGCATTTAAAAACATTTTGAAATAATTTGTTACTCTGCGTCATTTGAAGAGTCGTAACCATTAAAACTTACGAGGATCTGCTTGCAAACGACTAAATAAATGATCCATTTAAAGACCAATATATTTCCGCAATATATATGGTTCTCAGTAAATGTGAGGCCGCACTGTGGTTTTTCAGGCCTCAGTGTTTTTGGAGCCGCGCACACCTATCACCATGGCAGATAAGCTCCCTCCATGGAATGCAGTCTGCTCCACAGAATAATTCTACAGAATACAGAGTTTGGAAATCATTGGATCCAGACAAAAAGAATGGGAAATGATTTATAAGTCCGAGCGGCTGCTAAGTTGAAAGTCCTTTACATTGTCTAATGTGAAGATACATTTTAAAGTTTGGATTTAATGGACTGTAAAATAATGTTTATATAAATATAATAATGTTTTTTTTTTTTTTTTGCATTGATTGATTTGTGTAAAGTTTTATTTGTTATGCAGTTTTTGTTTAATTTCTTTTGTTTTATTTTTTTATTTGGTAACACTTTATTTTAAGGTGCCCTTGTTATACATGTTACATGTACTTACTATTATAATAACAATAAATTATGCATAATCACATGCAAGTAATTCTAAGACAAACCCTAAACCATATAGTAAGTACATGTAGTTAATTAAAATTACTCAGTATTTAAATGTATAATTACACTGTAACAAGGACACCTTAAAATAAAGTGTAACCTTTTATTTTATTACATTTATTTATTTATTATTATTTTTATATATTTATTTATTTGGTTGTTAGTTGTTTTATGAATTTTGTTTGTTTGCTTATGGAATGCAAGTGTAAGAATTCAAAAGAATTGTACATATTAATATTTTAATCAACAATGTAATTAAATTTTTAGATGTATTTTCTAAAATACATCTAAAAATTTAATTACAATCATGTTTGTTCATATGTGTTTTCAAATATATATTTTAATATGACTTTCAAGGTGTAGCATTTTTTTTTACTGCTAACACACCAAGGCATGATGAAGATATCTTCTAGTCTATACCACTTTTTCCTTTACAGGTGTGTGTGTGTGTGTGTGTGTGTGTGTGTGTGTGTGTGTGTGTTTCTGCCTGTCTGAAACGGCACCTATTCACAAAATTCAAGCTCAATCATTTCACTGCTAAAGTAATTTGATTTTAATTACAAAATTATCTAATGATTAGACAACTGAAGACTGCAGCATGCTAGAGCTGAATTATTTATTTTTTATTCTATCACCTTCACTGAGCAAACCAAGTCTTACAATAAATAATATGACAGTTTGATTACAGAAAATCAGATATAAATTGTGATTCTGGCTGTGCCGGCTTGACACAGATATAAATAATCCTTCATTTCAGTAGCAGTTTTCCTTCAGTTTGAGACTTTGCACAGCCCAAGAGACTGCAGTCAGTTCATTAAAACATTTTTAAAGAGTGTGTAAACGGCTGTTTAGACATGTTGCTGCGGTGTTCCCTCTCACGGCTAATTGCTGCCATTTATCTGCATCCTTCCAAAAATACATGTAGAAGGTGCACAGAGAAAACATCATCAGTCTCACTGTGAAAGATATTTTTCAAGCTCATTTTCAAGCTCACTTAGCACAACTAGGGCTGCAAGGGAACATGCGTGATGCTACAGGATAACAATTAGTCAAGTGACTGCCCACCGTTCTCAGCGAAAATACTTGTTTGTATCTGCATTTGAAAAAAAAAAAAAAAAAAAAAACATAGAAGTAGAAATTAATATCTGAAAGTGCTACGCTAGTACGCTTGTCTCAATTTAAGTTTTTTTTTTTTTTTGTCTTGTTTCCTTTGAGATTTTACTTGCCCACATTTTTGTCCTCGTTGAAATTCTTTCTTTCTTATATTTCTATTTTTCCCCCTCCTTTCTGTTTTGTCACTAGGTGAGCTGGAATACACACCAGAGTCCTTCAGCAGAGAGAGATATTCTGGTAACTTGGGTTTATAATTGTGGTTCCAAAAACCGATCAGGACTCACATGTGCAGTGTATTGTGGGTGTTCGGGGAACAGACTGCTAAGTCTGCGGATATTTGACTGTCTGATGAGACTTGATAGTCTCATTGTTCCACACATGGGGTGTTAGTTTGCCTTCCGTATAGTGTGTGTGTGAGTTGTTTACAGAAGCTTTCCTTTCTGTCTGGCTTTTGGGTCAGTTGATACAATCTCCCATGGCAAAAAAAAAAAAAAAGAGAG